TGTGTGTGTGTGTGTGTGTGTGTGTGTGTGTGTGTGGCCTTGTTTTTGCTACTTGGTGGGGACAAGTTTTTTCAGGAGAATGCAGCCTCGTGGGGACTGTATGCTCTTTGTGGGGACCAAAGCCCAGCCCTCACGACTTCGGAGGCTGATTTTGGGTGGAGGGGTTGGCTTTAGGTGTGAATTGAGTTTAGGTTAATTTTAGGGGAAATGGTTAGGATATAAAATTTAAAAAAAAAGAATGGAAGTCAATGGAAAGTCCCAACAAGGATAGAGAGATATAGTAGGTGTTTGTGTGTGTGGGCACGTTTTTGCTACATCGTGGGAACCATCTTCCATAAAAAGGTAGCCTCGTGGCGACCCAATGTGCCTGGTCCCCACGGGTACGGATGCTAATTTTGGGTGGGGGTGTTAGGTTTAGGACCACCTGTGAGGTTAATTTTAGGGAAAATGGTCAGGGTTAGGTTATATAATTACTAGAAAATGAATGGAAGTCAATCCACGGTCCCCACAGGGATACAAAAACAAACCTGCCTGTGTGTGTGTCTGTGAATGGCACGAGTTGATACACTTTCTAACGTTTTGTATAACTGCTGAAATGGCAGCGAAATAAAACATAATTACTTCTCTCAGTTCAGTGTCCTGACACGAAAACAGAAGATTTGAAACCCGTTTTTAAAAACTATAAATCAGGTTATTCAGTAATGTGATAAGATATTGGACAGTGATATAAATACTAATTTGAATAATTTTTTTCTTTTTAATTTCCAACAGTTTGATCCAACCAACATGTCTGCACGAACCATAATTAGAATATAATAGCTTTTCCTTTACATCCAAAATAATTGTCACTGATGATAAGTATCAGTAAGAAGAATAACGTGTGTGAAATGTGTAGCATGCAGGTTAATCTGTGATTTTCATATGCTTTTGTAATCTTGAAATGCTCAGTTTTGGTCCATGCCCTGCATCACTCCACCAAACTCATCAGATTGCATCAAAACACTGTAATTCYTTCTTTATCTTCATTTGTATATTTAGTTTTGTTCTTGAGAAGTGGAGAAGCATTAACTTTTAGTTTTTTGTTTTTGGAAAAAAAAGGTCAAATGAACACATTTCTCTGTCTGTCTGCAGCTGAAGAGAACTGCTCTTCAAGAAGCCACCACACGTACAAGAAACCCTTCCCTGATGGCTCGCCGAGTGACGAGGACTCCTACTATCACCCCTCCTCCTACCCCCCTCCTCCTCACCCGGGCTTATCCAACCTCCCTGCTTTGGGTCTCACCAACTCTCCCTACAGCTCCGACCTGGGACAGCGTCAGGCCTGCATGTTTGCGGGCTCGGAGCCCAGAATGGATGAATTTAGCTGCGCGTCTTGGTCGTACACCTGCCCGCTTCCAACCACCATCGCCCCCATGGAGCCCTACCCGCCTTACACCCCTCACCCCCCTTACAGCTCCAGCCCTCAGGGCTCCCGGCTCAGTGTTTTAGCCCACCAGAGCTCGTCGCCGCTGGGGGAGCACATCGTTGCCCACGATCCCTATCAGAGCCAGAGCTCCGGACTTCATTCTCAGAGCTCCCACAACCTTCACGGCAGGCATCTGGGCTCTCCTCTCCGGGAGTATCCTCGCTACACCCCTAATCTGTCACCGCCCCTCTACCAAACCCTAGACACTCACGCACACATAAGGTGTGGAGTCCCAGAGTGGAGTGCAGCCTCCTAACTAAACCAGAAAACAAACGCGAAAAATGAATGGAATTAAGAAAAAAATCACTTAGCCCTCTTTCTGCTCTTCTTAGACATGCTGAACTGTGTACAGACTGAATACTTTTGTAAAGTTCTTTTTGTAAAGCGTGTGTTTCGTGCAAAGATCTAGTGTTTATTTCCTCTGCTGAGTGGAGCTGTGGACCATTAAGACCTGAACTTGGACATTGATGATGCTCTGGAAAAAAAAAAGGTGGCTCCTTCCAAGCAGCACAGTGAACATTGTTGTATTTTGGAAGCTGAATGACTGATGTCATCCAGACTGTTTGCACTGTGAGCCGCTTTAAGGCCTGAACATGAGCAGCACTGTGCTCTTTCTCTCTCTCTGATCCTGAAGGATGCAAACTGTGATCCCCATCAGACAGCTCCATTTATCATTTCTCTGAACAGAACCCAAGGGAGACGTTTTCCTCCTCACGTTCAGTCTCAATGAAGAAGAAAAGGCCATTTGTGTGTGTGTGTGTGTGTGTGTGTGTGTGTGTGTGTGTGTGTGTGTGTGNGTGTGTGTGTGTGTGTGTGTGTGTGTGTGTGTGTGTGTGTGTGTGTGTGTGCATGCAAAGCCTCTGTCAGCTCAGTTCAAGGAAGCTGAGAGTTCATTTCCAACGAGACGAGCTGCAGGCGCCGCGCCATTGAGATAAACACTTTGTTTAGAACACGYGCCACGAGGCGGCGAGACCTGCAAACATGATTTCCGGTGCATTCTGGGTAAATGCACAACTCAGCGTCACACAGCTGTCACTGCTGTCCTCTCAGTCACCCCCCGCGTCCGACCAATCAGCCTCCTCTGTTTACGGAGAAGCAGCCAATGAAGGCTCGGGTCCGATTTATGCCCTGTTGACCAGTCAAAGTGGCAGTGTGTGTGTGTGTGTTTGTGTGCGTGTGTGTTTGTGTGCGTGTGTGTTTGTGTGCGTGTGTGTGTCGACCCATTTTTGTTTGTGTGTGAATTATTCATAAGTCTGCGGTTGATCTCTGACGTGAGGATTTCTCAGCAGCAGAAATGAATGTGAGGATGTTAAACTTTTATTGGCCAACAAGAGGTCAAATTTATTTTGAAGCTAAAATAAACTCATTATTTCTGATTATTTCAAGTACTTGTACTAAACTGTAAAAAAAAAGCATTTGTACCTTTTTTTTTTTTCCCTGAGAAAACAGACAACTTGGGTTTATTTTTTGAGTGGCAGTTCATATTTATCTAACCTGGTGTTTCTACAGGGTGCTTAGAAAGCAACATAAAGGTCCTTATCATTCCTTATTCTGTATTTTATTTGTGTGTGTGTGTGTGTGTGTGTGTTTGTGTGTGTGTGTGTGCGTGTGTGTGCGTGTGTGTGTGTGTGTGGCAGTGTTAATGTCAGCATTGTTCTTGCTCATAGTATTTATTACTCTAGGTTTGTAAATGTCGTTACCTTGTGCAACAGGATGATTGTTCAGATACGTATGTTTGTTTTGATTTGAGGGTTTATCTCCAGTRTCACTCTCCATTCCAAAGTGGTGATCAATAGTTGTGACAAACAGACAAAATGTTCCTGTTTTATGGACAAATATAATAAAATAAAAGGGATTTATAAACAGAAGTTGAATAAACTTTTCTAGACAGAGCTGGTTGGTTCGTTTGTTCCCCTTTGATGCAGTAAAGATGACTGATGTTCTCAGTGAGTTATTTAAAGAGCGTTCAGCACCTCAGGAGTGGAAACTCTTTTAAGTGCAGCAGTGCTCTTTTATCGGGTTAAATGCATGTATGAATCTGAAGGAGCTGATAAGACGTGAGTCAGCAGGGCTGCGTCGGTGTGAACCTCGCTGCCTGACGGACCTCAGGGTCTTGCAGAGTGGTCTGGATGTGCTGTGCATACCTCGTCCTCTAATCTCTGACAGGTTGTTTGGCATCTCAGATCTCCAGCAGCTGGACCGTCTCAACCTGCTGCCCACAGAGGGGAGGGCTTTTTCAGAAT